ATCCATCCCTGTATCCATTCATCTATCCCTCCATCTCTCTGCTATCTCTCTCTCTCTCTCTATCCATCTATCCCTCCATCCATCCCTATCTATCCATCCCCCTCCTTCCCTCCCTCTATCTAATTTATTTGCCATCCATCTCTTATCCAATGACTCGTCCTCTTTTTCCATTAGAGCGCTGGATTAAAACTGGAAAGGCTCAGATCCCTTTGGATGCCTTTCCACCATTTACCATTCTCTCCACCCGCCATGCACAGAGAGAGAGAGAGAGAGAGAGATCGACCATACACCACTTCATCACCAAAGAAAAAATACGAATGCCTGCCTGCCGCCTACGGCTGCCGCCAATAAAGGGATGGGAGAGAATGCACAAAGACTTCCTCTGCCTGCTTTCTCTAACCTGTTATATAATCCATGGCCCATCCTCTCCATCCTTTTACATAACTTTGCTACCTTGGAAACATGGAAAGGGGAAGAGGATGAGATGGGTTGCATAGCAACAGAAAGCTCCAGCAGTCTTCCAAAGGGGTAGAAGTCTTTCTGGGGAGTTCTCGCAGACAATTGCGTTGATAGGAGCTGGCATTATAACTTGGCCAATTTTAGAGAAGGCGGTGGAAAAATTACTCATCCTTTGCGGTAGACCAGTTTAGGAAACTATACTGATTGTGTTGAACCTCAAGAGTTTGGGGAGTTTGACTCTGGAGGTGGCTGCTAGATTGACAGCACACTCCAATGTCCCGCCCCTGCTTGCTGCTCCCAATTTGCCCATTTTGGTGGTTGTTGTTTTTTTACTAATCATATTTTCTTTTTCATTTTACTCCCATGTTCTTTAAACTTTGGAATTAGAATTCAGAATTGGAATACAACAGAGCTGGAAGGGACCTCGGAGGCCTTCTAGTCCAGCCCCTTGCTCAAGCAGGAGGTTCTATATTTTCCTTTTATTTCTTCATCGGTTTAAGGTTGTGAGATGCCTAAAGTTTCGCCCCTCTTTACGAACTTTCTTAGAGAGAGGAGAGGGCCCTGATTCCCTTCATTAGCCACAGCCGTGAAGACAGTTGATAAGAAAGGCGTGCAGCAGGCTGCTGGGAGCAAACATGACTTTATCCTGTGTTGTTGTGGCTTAGCTGTGTTCCTGGCGTCTTCCCAACTGTATGAGTTTTGCCATGCCTTCAAGCCTGAAATTCTTGCTCCTGCCCTGCCAAACTAATTGCTTCAGTTTGGCTTGTTTATACTTTAAGTTACAGTTTGCGTGTACCTTGTTTTGGACTTAATTGTCTGCAGCCAAAGGCTGTTCCTGGGAGAGTTTTTCTCCAGCCAGAAGGTAACCTGGACATTGGGGGCAAAGTTGGAAATAAAGAGATTCTTATTGCTTATCTGACTGTGTTGCCTTTGTGCCACGCCCCGGGTCATCACAATGGGGTTGCTGCAAAGGTAATTCTGAAAAATGGACCCAAGTGACTTTTTTCAGTGCCGTTGTAACTTTGAACAGTCACTAAATGAAGTGTTCTAAGTTGAGGACTACCTGTACTGTGTTGAATCTTTGGGGCAAATTGTCCCGTTTTACTCTGGAGGGTTGTGGTCTCTAGGGACTTGTGATAAACTGAAGCCACACCACCATTCGACACTGCTCAAACTGCACCACAGCTGATTGTTGCTGACACAACACAAAGTATTAATGGTTACTAAAGGCAAAACCCTGGAGGCCTTTTACCGAATGAGTTTTTCAAAAGCTTCCTTCTCTTTCCTTAGGGTGGTAAGGTAGCGCTGTTCTTCTGTCGACCCTCCATAGATCAGGAAATAAACCCTGCAAGACAAGACAGAAAAACCTTTTCAAGTCCAAAAGGCGCTGGCTGGATGGCAAACCCACCCCATCCCGGCTTGCCAAGTAAGCCACGATGGCTGGGCACATTCGTAACAGCTAACCCATTAATCGCGTCTTATGTATCACAGCAGCAGAGTCTACTAAATGATCATCGGGTGAATGAGAATCCAGCTAATTTGTATCCCAGTGCTTCCCTGAATATCAAAATAAATAAAACATAAAATATGGCCTCCATAGCACCTTCCCAATTCTACGCAGGTGTGTCATAATCTCCTTGTCTTGGGCCAGTCCTGGATTCTCTGCCTTTAAGCAACGAGATTTTCCGCTTTAATAAGAATTAAGATGAAGAATCTCCTAATTAATTAGAATTAAACCTTGTGATTCATCCTGTAGAAAGGAGAGGCTCTGATCAGATTTCACAACCTACATGTCCTTCCTCGTTATAAGACCCTGGATAAATACTGCAAAATGACCGCAGGCACGTATTCATTTCTCCAGGCCAAATCCAGTTGGGTTTATTATTATTTTTTTAAAAAAAGAAAGAAATGGCATTATTTCCATAAATAGAAGACAACATTTGTTGCTCAGAGTTGGAACTGTGGCACTCTCTAAGCTCGGTTATTTTCTTGCAGACGTTTCATGACCCGACTGGGTAACATCGTCAGAGCTACAGGGAGTGGAGTTTGCTCTCTGTTTATACAGTGGTTTGCCTTGGTGGGAATGTCCTCAGTGGCTTCTTCATTAAGCGGTTCATTACAGCATTGTTAGTGCTCTTAATCCCACTAATTGGGTAATGGAATGCCTGCAAGAAAACAAGGGAAGTTCAGAGTCTGTAGATTTCTCAGCCATCAAAGTCATATAGGAAAGCCATGACCTGGAGCAGGGGTCTCCAACCTTGGCCACTTTAAGCCTGGAGGACTTCAACTCCTAGAATTCCCCAGCCAGCTTTGCTGGCTGGGGAATTCTGGGAGTTGAAGTCCTCCAGGCTTAAAGTGGCCAAGGTTGGAGACCCCTGACCTGGAGGACTGAGAATCTCTACAGACTTTTAGCTACACAATTTGGGATGAACACCCTTGGAATGGCGTGGGAGTAGGAATGGATTTCCAGAGAGAACGAAACTGCAGACTAGGGGAACCAGGAGCCCTAATTCAGGTGACTCTGAGGACACAGGAAAAACCTCCAAGTGGCCTCAAGGACCTTCTAAAAGGATGCAAATGACCAGCTGTCTGCAGGGAATATAAATCCTTCCACTCCCCACCATCCAGTCAGAGCCAAAGAAGCTTCTCGGATGAGAAGCGAAACATCTTCAAAGGAAAAAAGCAAGAAAGCTCAGTTGCCTCCTTTAAAAAAAAAAAAAAAAAGCACCTTTGGGACAAGCAAGCTCAGAGACCACCAAAGACCTCCCATTTTTTTTTGTCCTAGTCAGCCTGCCATTGCTCCCCTTCCAAGCCAAGTTACCTCAACGGCTTCCCGGCTCTGCTCGCCTTGTAAACTTCCAGCTGGCGAACAAAACTCAGCTCTGCGTCGTACAAGACGACGTATCTGGGCTCCACCTCCTGCAAGACGGACGTGAGGGCGTAGGGATCCCCGCAGCCCTTTAAAGGATGGATGACCATCAGCGGCTCCTTTAGGATCCCGTAATAGGCATCGGAGGAGGACAGCTTGAATGGGAGATCTTCCGACCTTTCCCCATTGCTCTCCTGGCTGCTGTGGAGGCCCTCAGAATCTTCTCCTTCTTCTTCTTTTCCTTCAACCTTGATATTTTCCTGCTCCTCTCTGTTCAACATCTGCGTCAAGGTTAACTCGGCCTTTTTCTTCCTGCTTTTTGGTTTGGAGAGTTCTGGCTTGGCCCGTTTGGCTGGCGGTTCTCGGCCGCTCTTGTCATGGGCCTTGGCCTCTCTCCGGTTCTTTGGGCCGGGGGCGCTCGCTTCCTTGTCCGACCCAAAGGTTCTGTTGTAGAGCCTGGTTAAATAGGCTTCGGCCCCGAGGGTGATGTATTCCTTGAGCTGAGCGCAGGTGCGGTCGTCGCTGGCACAAACCAGCACTCGCCCTGCAGACAAAGGAGAGTTTTCCACGCTTACAGCTTGAAAGCAATCCCACCTTTTCCCTCCTACCGCTGCTCCTCGAGGGACAACCAGAAGTGGGTTGTGCCTGACTTTATGACGCTGCGGTTGATAAGTGAATCACGCAGTCGTTAAGCAAATCCAGCTCTCTTGACTTTGCTGGTTGGAAGATGGCTGGGGGGGGGGGGGGAAGATCACAAAAGATGACCATGGGATCCATTGTACGTGCCAGTTGCCAAGCACCTGAATTTTGACCGGGTGGGCTGGGAGGAGGCTGCAACAGTCACAAGTGCAAGGACCAGTTGTACGTCCCTCTTTTTTCAGTACCATTGTAATTTTGAATGGACACTAAAGGAATGGTTGTAAGTCGAGGACCATCTGTATTTTTAACAGAAAAAATAAGCGTGGAATCTTTACAAAATAATGCAGCTGTCCTCACTCCCTAATCAAAGTGATACTGTTTTGGGATTCAGACAGCCTGGAACACACGTTTTGTATCGGAAGTTCAATGCGGAGATTTCAGGATGGAATGAAGGGGTTATCTATCTATCCTTCCTTCCTTTCCTTCCCCTCCCTTTCTCCTGTTCCTTCCTTCTTCCCCCCTTCCTTCCTTCCCTTCCCCTCCCTTTCTCCTGTTCCTTCCTTCTTCCCCCCTTCCTTCCTTCCCTTCCTTTCCTTCCTCCCTTCCCCTCCCCTTCCTTTCTCCTGTTCCTTACTTCTTCCTCCCTCCCTTCCTTCCCTTCCCTTCCCCTCCCTTTCTCCTGTTACTTCCTTCTTCCCCCCTTCCTTCCTTCCCTTCCCCTCCCTTTCTCCTGTTCCTTCCTTCTTCCCTCCTTCCCCTCCCTCCTTCCTTCCTCCCTCCCTCCCTGAAAAATCTCCCCCTTTACACAGCTCCAAAGCTACTTTATGTTTTACGACTTCAACCAATTTATGATTTTGACAATGCTAATAATGGTCCAGGCTGCCTCAGGAGATGGTATCTTTCTTTTAACTTGAGGCTGGACCTTAGGAATGGAAGCCTCGACCAGATGGCTTTAGAGCTGTTTTCATATAGGATTCCCAGATTATTTTACAGTATCACACCAAAGCATCTTTACATGGAGCCTCTGTTTGCTGGGGGCAACAGAGTCCTTTCAGATGTGGCGTCTGCTTCAAATTTCAAAATAAACAGGGCAGATGCTCCAATGATGTTTCTCGCTGTCTCACCCTCTCCATCCTTGCCTGGAGGTACGGCCTCACCTGGTCCACCCAGGGCTTCGCTGTTGGCGTTCTCCTCTTCAATCTCCTTCAGCACTTCTCCCAGAGCTTCCCACTTGGGACTGCTTTCCAGGACCAATTCCCGCTTCTGTTCTGGAACACAGGTGATGCATCAGGTTTATCTATGTGCAGCATTGGCCCAACATCAAAACTTTTTAATTTTCTGGCCGGAAACTTGTACAGGAGCACCAGAACAATTTTGGAATAATCCTAAAAATCCTTTGAGAGCAGTGTGCCCTTTATCCTCAGATTCCCCCCCCCCCCCGCCAAAAAAAACCCTATACAGGTAATAACAACCACAATTGAGCCCAATATTTATGTTGCTAAGTGAGAAATTTGTTAAGTGAGTTTTGCCCCATTTCACTATCTTCCTTACCATGTTTGTTAAGTGAATCACTGCACTTGTTAAGCTAGATGTCAACTCATAAAATATTAAAATATGGTCTTTTTAGAGTTGCCAATAGAAAGGGAAGGGGGAGCAGTACGGCAGCTTGCAAACCGAAAGTGCATTCCATCAATGTTTTCAAAGATAATAACTAGGTGACTGAAGTTTCTTCCGCACAAAATTCTAACTGGAAAGCATGATTGATAACTCTGGGCTATGGATGTGTCCCATTGGAGAATATGAATTACGATACACCCAGGGGGTGGGAGGAAAACCAGGGTCAAGGGTGACAATGAATGATGTGTCTCAGAGTCGGCTACACCCAGGCAGTGCCGGACATGTTAACTCCCAATAAATCCTTTGGAAGTTTTGGAAGTTTGGCTCAAGACTCATGATTTAAATGGGGGCAACTGCCAGAATCCTGACAGCTAGCTGACTCTAAGGCACATCATTCATTGTCAACCCGCTTGTTAAGTGAATCTGGCCTCGCCACTGACTTTGCTGGTTGTTCTACAATGGTCACTAAATGAACTGCTGTAAGTCAAGAACTACCTGTACAGCTTAGGCTACATCGGTGAAGAAGGGCGTGCTATACCTTTGGCTTCTTTGACATCTGTTTTCTCTGAGCCTTTTTTTTTCTTACTCGCGTTATCCTCTGGCAGGCGATAAACTCTGCTCCGGGCATTCAGGAACATCGATGTACTGGAATCGAGAAAAAGCCAACCTGGGAGAGGAATACAAAGATAAGAGAGATAAACATTAAATATAAACCTGGCCAGTGATGTTCAAAGGAAGACGACCCATTTTGTTCTTTAGCAATGCAGGTGTTTGGAGCCGTTACAGATAATCCTCATCTCACTACCGCAGTGGAGCCTATCGGTTGTGATCATTGAGAGGTGATGGTTGCACCTTGGAGGTCTTCTTATGACCAATTTGATTTTACAACCTTTTTTTGTGGTGTCCGTTAAGCAAATCGCCATGGCCATTAAGTGAATCCACAATCATTAAGTAAACCCATTGTTTGCTATGGGGCATTTTTGTCAAAAACCCGCCAGTTTGCAGGAAAAGCATCACAAATTGTGGTCATGTGATCTTGGAACGCTGAAAACAGGGGCCGGTTGCCAAAAGGATGAAAGGATCTTAATCCTATTTATATTGACCCTTCAAGTTTTGCATTGGAAGCAAGATTTTATAAATCCAACAAATTGGCATAAAAAGTATGTAAAGACTAGAATAACAGAGTTGGAAGGGACCTTGGAGGTCTTCTAGTCCAACCCCCTGCCTAGGCAGGAAACCCTACACCACTTCAGACAAATGGTTGTCCAACCTCTTTTTAAAAGCTTCCAGTGTGGAGCATTTACAACTTCTGGAAGCAAGTGGTTCCACGGATTAATTGTTCTAACTGTCAGGAAATTTCTCCTTAGTTCTAAGTTGCTTCTTTACAATTAACAAAGTGTGCCTTTTAGTGTCTATTAACGTTTAGTACCTTAATAAATATCCCTATCACAAACAGATAATAATATAAACCAGGAAATTCACCCCGAGTCCTATCATGCGAAGGACTATCACAAAATTGATACGTCAACAAAACGAGGGATTTCAAAATAAAAGCTCAAAGGATAAGCCAATTCTTTTTTTTCCATATGTGCCATGCTCCCTTCCCTACAATCCCAGAAAAAGATTCACCACTTCATTTTGCTTTTGGCTTGAACTTGCCCCGACAGATGGCATCAGAAACGCGAATAGTTTCCACGTGTGATAAATGTCCTGAAATACCCCAGCTTCCAGATCCTTAGCTTTCTCTCCTTCCCTTCCTGGCGACCAAGAGCTCCTTATATAATGACTAAGGCATCTGATGCAAACGGTACATGTTTTCCAGCAGCAGCCGTTAAGTGGGAGGCTGAATATATCTCGTGTCCTCCAGCCTTCTGGAGGGATGGGAACATTCGGGAACATTGGTGCGCATGTGTTTGTCGTTGTGCTTCTAATTAAAACTTGTCGCTTTTCATCGGGGTGTGAACCGAGCCATGCCTACCTGAATTCTGACCAAAAGCTTTTTCCGACACTTTGAGGGATTCTAAAAGGTGAAGGAAAGTGACGCAGTCGTACTGAGTCAAGTACTGTAGCAACGTGCGGAGGATCTTCAAATCTTGGACCAGAGATTTGGTCTTGGATCCAAGCTGGTGCCAAAGAGGATCTAAATAGTGGCGGATTGTCTGGAAATAACAGCATTGGGAATCAGCGTTAGTGCGTGAGGCAGTGATCTATGCTTGATTCAAACCAGCTGATCTCTTAACAGATTTAACAATAGCAATAGCCCTTAGACTTATATAACGCTTCACAATACTTTACAGCCCTCTCTGAGCTGTTTGCAGAGTCACCATACTGCTTCCCAACAGTCTGGCTCCTCATTTTACCGACCTCGGAAGGATGGAAGGCTGAGTCAACCTTGAGCCGGTCAGGATCGAACTGTTGGCAGTCAGCAGCCTGCAATACTGACTTCTAATGCAATTTTTAGTATTTAGAGCCTGCAAACCTTTAAAAAGAACCAAGTCATAGGTTTCTTTCCATTCTTTAATGTTGCCCATTCACAGCCACACCTGTATTATATATATATATCCCCTCCTCCCCCCCAAAAAAATTCTGAATCCAACGATGTTATGATCCTGGCACACAACCTTCAAATAAAAGAACATTTATTTCATTGTTAACGAGCTTACAATAAGCAAGCCAGAGATTTAGAGACCTCATAAAACATTCTTTTATGTGAAAACACAGTTCAAGTATTAACAGATGTCAGCCCCTCCGTTACCAAAAAGAAAAAGAAAAAAAAGACAGACTATGTTCCCTAAACTAAACACAGCTGGAAAGAAAGGAGAAAAGTTCGACTGGAGAGTTCTGACTAGGTGCTGCTGATGCTCATGACATTTCCCAAACATAAAAGTATTATTATTATTATTATTATTATTTTAAAAAGCCAGAGCGGAATTCCTTCCAAAAGAAGCAGATGCACAATCTGAGGAGGCTTTTGCTAAATTAAGGGAAGGAAAACTGCCGTTAACGAATGTTAAGATGGACAGCTTCTTCGGATAGCCAACAATCAACAGAAACTTCACTATTTTTTTTTCCTCCTTATAACTTAGCATTCCCTCCTCTGAGCTGGGATTCTGCCCCGGAATAGCCTTCAAATGCCCGAGCTGAGCTTGAGAAGCTGAAGGCTGTTTCATCTTCATTTCAGCTCCGCAGACCATTATCTCCTCATTACTGGATGACCATTTCCTCCCGACCAGTTTCAACCACAACGAAGTGCAACTTAGATCTTGCAAATGCAGCTTGAGTAACCAGCCCAGAAATTCCACCGAATCAGAGGGAACGTGAGTCCGACTTTAGAACTAGCCCAGGTTTGAAAGCGGTACATTTTGATTAGAAGAAAGACACGTTACTACTCTCGAGACTTAGGATGCCACGAATCGATACAATCCCACAGGGCAAGAGAAGGGCGCACCCGACTTCGCCAAAGGAGAGGTACCTTCTCGAACGCCGTGCCGATGGCATTTTCTAAGGAGAGATCCTCCACTTCCAGAGCAGGGTTGCACTGCTTCAGTTCTTTCAGACACGCGTTCAGGATGTCCAGGATGGAGCTCTGGATGGCACGCATGGCTGGCGTCATAGTGATGTGGATTTCCACCACTTCGGGCTTGTGTCGCTCTAAAAAAGAGTGCACCACCGCGTGAAACCTGGGGAAGAGAGAGGCAGGAAAAAGGAAGTCAGCAAGGAGCTGGACAAATCAACACCTCCCCCATCCTGGTTCCTAGCTGGTTCCCAAGCAGTTTATCTAAGTCAGGGGTGTCCAACCTTGGCAACTTTAAGACTTGTGGACTTCAACACAAGCTTTGCTGGCTGAGGAATTCTGGGAGTTGAAGTCCACAAGTCTTAAAGTTGCCAAGGTTGGACACCCCTGATCTAAGTCCTCAGACTGGAAAGATCTTTTCAGGTTGTTTTTTAAAAACAACATTTCACTCCTCATTCAAGAGGCTTTGTGGTGGCCCGTCGGCCGCTGACCCCTCCAGCAGCCGAATCAGAGGAGGAGGAGGAGGTGGTGTGAGAGTCAGGACCAGCTTTGGGAAAACCTGGGAGCTCCAAGGAGGAAGAGGGAGTGGAGCTGTCAGAGAGAGAGACAGAGGCGGAGCCTGGGCTGCCCGTCAGAGTCAACAGCCCCCAGGCCTGGAGGTGGCTAATGAGGAAGAGGAGGAGAAGCTGGGTCCCGTGCCTGAGATGCGAATGCACAGAAGGCAGAGGAGAGGAGAGCAGTGGAAATCTATGGGCCGGTCCTTGGGACCGCTGCTATCAAAGCCCCACCCTAGCTCTGGGGATAAAAGGCAGGTGCGGCACAGACCTATTTATCTTCTAGGCCGTGAGAGAGAAACTTTTGCTGGTGTTGCTGGCGCTCCTAATAGAGGAATCATTAATTGAACTACAGAGGGTTTGTCGTATTTGGGGAGCTGGGTCAGAACAGGCTTCTTCAGTTCTGGGTGAGAAACGAAATGTTTTCAGAGAAAAAAAAAACAACCCAAGGAATTCCAGTTGCCTTTTGGAAAACCACCTTGGGGACAACCATGACCAAGATGACTGAGAACCTCCCTAGATCCTTCCCACCCTTAAGCCGCCTTACCTCGGCCAGAGATACAGCTTCCTCACGAAAAGGTTTCGCATGACTCTTTCCACGTGACAAAAGCCGGTGCTGAAAGCCAGCGCGTTATCGGTGAAGGCTTTGACAAAACCTTGCTTGTTCTTCTGGCGATAAAGCCGCAAGATAAAAGCTTCTTGGCAAGACTCGATGATTCTGTGGGCTTTGTACACCAGGATTCCTGGAGGAATAACAAGAATAAATTGGAAGCAGAGGGTGCTGGTGAGGAGTCCAGGACAAAGCACACGAAGAGGACGTGAAGTCTTTCAAGGCAGGTCAAGAACTTGAAAGGTTCCGCTGATGAGACAGCCTGAAACGTTTTAACTATCCTCTGGCACCTTCTCCACAGAGACAAGAACGGAGGCTTTTAATTCCTCCTTCAGGACAATGGTGGCCTGGTTCGAAATCGGCTCAAGGGATTCAAACGAGAACCGGAAGTACTCCCTGATCTTAGAAGAATTATTCCAATGAAATACCAAAGCTTTATGGGACCCATCTACTCAGAAATATGACCCGGGGAATACAGCAGGGTTCACTCTCAGATAAAAGCTCATAGGGTTAAGGAGCAACCACTTATGATCAATCGGAATCTCCAGGAAGCCACAAGCTGCACGTAAAAGCAATAGTTGGTGGCCCGGTTTCTTTTCCTGAAGGTGCCTTTAAACAGCTGGGTTTCTCCCTCAATAACAGACAAATCTAAAATCAAGGGATCCTAGAGATTTCCAGGACTGAACACAACCACTTTTGTCCTAATGCTACAAATCAGCCACAAATGCCGTTACTATTCTGTGACATTTTTATCCCAACCTTTCCCCTAAACTGGTCAGTGGTCTTATAACCTGTTCCAGAGATGGTATTCAGCCAGTTCTGACCGGTTCTGGAGAACCGGTAGCAGACATTTTGAGTAGTTCGGAGAACCGGCAAATCCCACCTCTGATTGGTCCCGCCCCCATCTATTCTCTGCCTCCCATTGAGTCCCAGCTGATGAGCTGGGTCTTCTTTGGTTGCCCTGCACAGGAGAATGGAGCTGGAAAGCAGGCTAGTGGGGTTGGGAGGGAAGGGGATTTTGCAGTATCCTTCCCCTGCCACGCCCACCCAGCCATGCCCACCCAGCCACGCCCACCCAGCCACACCCACAGAACCAGTAGTAAAAAAATTTGAATCCCACCACTGCCCTATTCCCCATCTCCAGTTTTAGCCGTTGGCTTTATAGTCTTTTTCCCAACCTTGGCTACTTGAAGACAGGCGGACTTCAACTCCCAGAATTCCCCAGCCAACGTAGTAAACGTTACATATGCTGGCTGGGAAACTCTGGGAGTTGGAATCGGCGCATCCTAATGTTGCAGAGGTTGGGAAACCCTGGCTTAGAGAGAGACAGAAAGTGACGAGTTCGAGATTATCCTGCAAACCTCATGATCTAATTCCAGCAATCTCTCTAACTAAACCACACAGGTTTTTCCGGGCAGAAAAGAATGTCCTGAGCACGCCTCCATGACTAATTAGTAGCTTACGCTGCGTTTTGGATAGAGCTTCTCCCATACTGACCTCTAGTGGGAATGATCCTATAAAACAAAGAGCATTATTTGAAATTTCCCTACATGTGAACCGGGAGGAACAATGGCCCTGCATTTTTCAGTCTAGACTCAAAACTATGCCTAGCATGCCGAAAAGCAGGAATGACACCCAGTTGTAAACTTCTTACCAGTGATAAGATCTGCAGGAATCCTGTCAGTCAGAAAATCCACCACCAGAATTCGGCTAGTGGCAAAAATAACCCCTCCCTGGCTGTAGACCTCATAACGGCCGCTGCTGGCAATTTCATTTGTAACTCGCCGAGGAAGATAAGCAACGTTTTCGGTCTTTAACTGGTCAATGAAATATTCCTGACAAAGGAAAAATGATTCAGAGTAAAGAGGAAGATAAGCAACAGTTTACGGTCTTTCAATTATTTTAAAATTGTTTTTTTTATTTTATTTCTGCAAACCTTAGGCTTCCCAAATTCATTGTCAACTATTAAGCCTAAGTGGGGGGTGTTGGCTACATCAGAACTGGTTTCACCAAATGATTTTTCCCCGAAAAGGCCAGTAACATGTAACATTTTATGTCTCCTGTTAACTAATGATATTCAAATGCCTACCAATAGTACAAATCAGGAATAACACCTTTATTTAATTTAATGGGCTCCATTACTTGACAAATATTTTATAGCATTGCAATCTAAGGATGTTTATAAAGGAGCAATTCAGATTTATAATGTGATGATCTATGAACGCCTGCTTAGAAGTAAAGTGCATTTTTTCAGTGGGATTGCTTTTCTTATATGTTCCTAGAACTACGTCCAGATATGTATGTATGTATGTATGTATGTATGTATGTATGTATGTATGTATGTAGACAGACAGACAAGATAGATAGATAGATAGATAGATAGATAGATAGATAGATAGATAGATAGATAGATAGATGATGGATGGATGATGG